GTGTGTGTGTGTGTGTGTGTGTGTGTGTGTGTGTGTGTGTGTGTGTGTGTGTGTGTGTGTTTTGTATTTCAGTGATTCTGCGCAAGTGACATTTCATCTTAACTTTGTATTTCACAAGTGTCACTTAAATAATTATTTGTACAAGTAATCAATTTATATAAATTCATTTTAAATAAATTACTGTTATTTCTTGTAAAGATTAGTATTAAAGGGCAATAATTAGTGTACACAAAGTATATCATATTTTAATATTGCACACTGTTAATAGAACCCGTCGATTGTCAAATGCAGTGTACCTGCTTACCAGCACATGAGGAATAAGGTTTTCCACTGAGTCCTGAGTAAGCCATTTGGACTCGGGCAGTTTGTTTTGTCCAATGACTGGTGGTGTTCATTTTAGAGAATTAATTTTCTGACATGGCTCCTACTTGTTTCCTTCTCTCCCAGTTGGATGAAACACTGTTGGAGAGGTTGTGGGGTCTCACGGAGATGTTTCCAGAATCACTGCAATCAGCAGCTGAAGTATCCGCACAGTGTTCGCTATCTGTAGCCAAAAAACTTTACAGGTGTGGTGCTGGCAGTTGTATCTTGCGCTTAAAACCAGACTGTCACATTAACTCTAGAAATAATCTGGACATTTCAGTATATATTTTTCGTATTATGCTTTCTTGTAGTTTCTCCCGCTCAGCTCTATGGGTCGGTACTACTTCCTTTATGATTCTGGTTCTACCAGTTGTATTTGAGACTGAGAGGTTACAGCTGGAACAGCAACAACTACAACAGCAGAGACAGGTAAGTAGCACCAAAGTCCTGCATAAATACGAACAACTTCCTTGCAATTTCATACCTATTTAAATAGAGGTGAGCTGTATGACTATAGTCTTCTATAACAGTATGGGTAATGCTATATCAAAAGATTATCAATACAAATTAAAGAGTATTATGGAATCACTGCAAAAACAGCATCACATTATGTAACAAATGTGTTTGAAACAAAAACCCCAAAACAGTACTAATGATATAATGAAATAGATTGTTCTGACCAGTGTTGGGGAAAGTTACTTTTAAAAGTAATGCATTACAATATTGTGTTACTCCATAAAAAAGTAACTAATTATGGTACTTAGTTACTTTTTATGGAAAGTAATGCGTTACGTTACTTTTGCGTTACTTTTTAAATCTGGACAGGGCTTGCTTGTTTGTTTTTAAAATAAAAAAGTTATATTTTTGGCAAATATAAAAGCCTTTTCACACCAAAAGTGAAATGAATAAGCCTCAGGCTGAAGGGAAAGTACATTTACGTTCGTACAGTAGAATGCAGAAGAAGAAATTTCAACACACTTCAGCAATAAAAAAAGACACAAATGTTTGTCTAGAATGATTTGTGCTTATTAGTACGGTTGAACTGGATCATCGAAGGTCAGAAGCAAAGACATTGGTTAATAGAATGGGATTAAATACATAAAGGATATTTGTGTTGTTTAACATTTAATTATTGCAGGTTTGCGTCATATTCTGAGTTGCATTATTTTTATTCATTTTGAGGAATACTTAATCTGTGTGAGTGAGATGAATTAATGCATATTCATATTTATTTTGAACTACAGTAACATCTTCTGATTTCTCTCAACATGGGGACAGGAGAGCTGTCGATCAATAAATTGGGAAAAAAAGTAACTTGCATTACTTATCTGAAAAAGTAACTCAGATATTCTCTTGTAAATTAAAAAGTAATGCGTTACTTTACTAGTTACTTGAAAAAAGTAATCTGATTATGTAACGTGCGTTACTTGTAATATATTACCCCCAACACTGGTTCTGACACTGAATTTGGATTGGATGAGTCCATAAGGAAATTGATTTTTTGCAGTAACTTATAAATCTTTTAATCTACTTTGAGCCATGAGGTTGTTCATTGATGTAATATGAATTTGTTGAGGATAACAGCTTGCATAATTTCAATGGTGGAAAATGACAGTACCCATGATTATGCTCTGAAATCTCCACCAATCAGAGACTCTTGAAAAGCAAATGCCAAAAGTGCTGTACACTGGCATAAAACGCTTCTAATGACGTAACAGGGGTCAGTCTCCCTATGCAACAACATTCAATATTTAAAAAAAAAATTCCATTGTTTTTAATTCGGATGTATGTCATTTGCAATGCTTCATAGGATTTGTAGTTCTTTTGTATACAGTTTGGTACCTGTGTCTTTTTGTCTTATGTTCTAATGCTTTTTTGCTTCAAAGTTTGTGATGTTGTGATTTACCTTATTGAAAAGCATGCATATTATGTGTCTTTTTCATTGAAATATGAATTCATTTCTCATTTCCTTTTCCTTTCCTGCTTTTAATAGATTTTGTTGGGTCCAAATGCTGGCATGTCTGGAGGAATGCCTGGAATGATGCCTCCTGCTCCTGGGAAGCTGTGATGATGTATATATTGTAACATCCATGAGTTGTAGAAGAAGAAGGGGAAAGAGAGAGGGAGCAGGAACCGGAGAAAGGAAGATGCTGTGGTTGGTCAGCATCAAGAAGTCGTTACTTTGTATCGTTTCTGTGTACAATGGAGACCCTGATGACTTTTATGAACTTCCCTCTCTCTCTGCATCTCTCACAGAAACATTCTGCATAGACTGTCGTCCAAGCTCTGATCTTTTACTTTTTTTTTTTTTTAATTATAGCTATCTAATAACATTTCTTTCAGAAAGAGACTATAACAGCTGTTGGGGAAATTTTTGACTGTGTTGCAGGTGCATTATATTTCTAAGAGAGTGTTTACGGTGCAATGTTGGCCATTGTAACGCCGGATCAACACTGACGTGCAGAGAATCTATAACAGCGTTCAAAAGATCTGTAGTATTTATGAGGGCACGCAAGGCCAATATTGATTGTGAAATTTTCTCTGTCTACAGAATATCGTTGTTTGTTTTTTGATCCATAATTGTTAAAACCTTTAGAGGTGGTTCTCTGCCAACAGTGTCTTTTAAGGTGATGATACACTGGGCAACTTTTTTGAGCAATGTTGCTTGGGCACTTACCTATTGAGAATGGGCAACAATTTCTATCTGGATACTTTCGATCGGTCGTGGGCCCTGTGTCTCAGCTGGTTGCCTGTCGACAGCAACATTGCTAAAAAAGTTGCCCCGTGTATCATCACCTTTACAGGTAGAACTAATATCATGCAAAGCTTCTGCATTGTTATTCCTCAGACAAAAGCCATACAGTGTGCAGAACCATTGTGAAATATTTAAGAATGTTTCAAAACATTGTACTTTATTGAATAATAATGTTTGCTACACATGACAGGAATAAAAACAAGTTCTCCAATGTCCTTGTCTTTTGTCTATACTTTTTATTACATAATATACTTTTTTTCTGATACTTGAGAATAGCCAGACTGGTGAAGTGCGCCTCACAAATTCATGCAAATAAAAGTCATATTTCATTTGGACACTCCAGTGATGATTTGATCAAAATAGCTATTTTTTTTAACCTAATACTAGCATCAATAGACAGTTAGCAAGGAATAAAATAAGCCCCCAGACAAAACTATTTCCTCATAAAAATAATTATTTGCCCTTTTACAGTTTTCATAGGTGGAAATGACGTCACAAAAAGGAATAACGTCAGTTTAAAAGTCCTATTAAAAAAATAAATTCCACGCAAGAAATGTTTATGATAAACTCATTGTTTGTTTAGGGTATCATAGTTTACCGAAACAAAATGTTTTTTGAAAAACTTTTTTTTAAATATATTTTTATAAGATTTTCATGTTTTCACAGTATTAAAACAGTTGTAGACAGATCTAAAAGTATATAGTTTTAATACAATTCTGGGACGATGTCCGAAGTATGTCACCTGGGGTTACAAAAAAGATTGTTTTTTACAATTACTGGTTGGTTTTAGATAAAACAGAAAAACAAAACCACCTAAATATAGGTTTACTGCAGTTTAAAAATCAATCACAAAAGCTCCAACTTAATGTGTGTGACATTCAGGACACAGCAGTCTGACCTAATAAGCGCGGGACAAATGCGCGCGCCGAAGTGTCACTCAGCGCGAGATCACTGATTTGAGTAACGTTAGATTCTGTTAGCTTTCTCTGAGGGATAAACCTGAGGTAAAATTTCGTTTGTATTCATTTATTTTTATCAAAATTGTTATTTTACACGTTTACGAGGAACATGACACTAACTGTTAATGTGACAGTTACAACAGGAGTTAACGTTAAGTTATTTTGAAACAGACGGCTAACATACTAGTTAACGTTAACAGGCAGCTGATTAAAATGTAAGCCAAATGTAAAGATTAATAGATACTTACAAACTGTACTTAACGGTTATCTGGCCTTCAAAACAATGTTTTTTATTGTAATCTCTTTTTTTTTGTAAACATATCCATAGTATGAAAACTTTAGAGGACCAGGCTTTGGAGGACGAGTCGGGGTACCAAGAAGATGAGGTGATTCACATTAATTTCTGTGAGCTAGCCAGTCATTTCAAACGTGTTAGTGAGGTCTTGAGTTTATACAGGATGTTACCCGTTTCAAAATGCATTTAAGGAAAATATGAAACTTTTAAATTAGAATAAAAAAAAAAAAACTTGTTTGGGTCAATGACGTGACGCTATTTTTTTGTGTCCATATGGTTTAATACAATTTAAAAGGGTTAAAATTTCAAAATACATGTGCAAATTAATGGCATACATTCTCTTTTTTGTGTACCAAGTCTAAAATTTCTGGTTTTAATTCATGTTGAGAAAATATTTGGGGGATGATTGCAAAAATGTCTATTTGGTGTAACTGTAAAAACTTTGTTCCAAATAATTCATCTTGTTTAAAAAAGGTGAAGTTCTCAATAAAACACCAGATCAGTTTGGCATAATCTTACATTAGTACTACCGGTATTTAATAGTAAATGGAGCACCATTGTTCTGAATATTATAATTAATTTAGGGAATTATGTGAGTCAAGTCAAATTCCTTGAGTGTCAAGGTGGTGTAACCACCATTCAAGGAGCCATTTTGTTAATATTTTGGATATTAACAAAATGTGAATTAAGAAGATCATGTGACAGGATATTATATCACAGAGAAGGATCTCTGGTGATACTAACTGCTGCATGCAAAGGTTAGTAACTCTCTTTAAAATGTGAGATAATTTGACATTTTTAGGGTATGGTCAGGAATTCTTAGGAATACATGTCAAATGGTATGACCTCAGGAATACATTGATCATTCATCATTATTATAAAAATGAGTATTAACTTTAAAAAATACATTTGAAATATTCCCACCAAGACCATGTACTTACATAGGTGTCCATGATAATAGGGATGCACGATATATCGGCCACCATATCGGTATCGGCCCATATCGGCTCATTTTTTCTGTTATCGGTATCGGCCTGATAAGAAAATTTGGCCGATATCTTAAAGCCGATAAATAATGCATTATTTCCTTCAGAGACACTTCAGATGCGCGCTGTTCGTTTGCAGCCTTTTGTGCAATTGTACGTTGTAATATTGTGTTTATTTGATGTATATCTGATGTATCTCATATAGAATGCGTTTGGTAAAGTTAAAAGAGCGCTTCAGTTTACCGATGATCATCTTTAGCTCAGCACACGCAGCCCAAACAGCAGTGCACAACATTAATAACTATGATTGGGAATGTCGTGTATATAACATTCTAATGAGAACATTATTATAATAAAACGTTGGGAATTCTTTGGGTTTAGTTGCCGTGTTTCAGCGCGTTGTTATGGGAAGAGCGCATCCACAACAGGATCACACATTCTGACTATAGCACGCAATAACTGCATCATTTTGTACATATATAAGTTGTAATATTATGTTTATGTTGTATTAATATTAATCTCAGGATGCATTTCCTTGAATTAAATAAGCTGCCAGCAAAACGCTTCAGTTTACCGTGTTCATTCAGCTCTTCAGCTTCAGCACGCGCAGCTCAACGGCTGCTATTTAAAACAGTGGTATTAATTTGTTACTTTTTCAAAATCATCGATACATTATTAATAACAACAACCACTTGTATTGTTCTCTTATTATTTTCATCAACAATATGGTTTAGTAATTAAAATAATTTAATTATTGTCCGTGCAGAGGCTATTCCGTTTTATTGATCTATGGCGCATTCATTTTGATTCTTTACACGTGTAATGATGTCCAGTGACTTGTTTGCATTATTTATGCATTATTTTATTTATTTGTAAGACTTTTTTATGACTAAATTTGGTAATGGGAGAGTAAAAATATTTTTTAAACGTACACCGTTCAAACTAGGCTGCTTATGTTGAAGTGTTTGGGATGTGGCTTTTAATGATGAGCCCTTTTTTGTAATCAGGCTCTCAAAAAGTATATAACAATTTGGATATAGATTTATCGGCCAACATATCGGTTATCGGCTTTCAAAAATAAAGAATAATCGGTTATCGGTATCGGCCAAAATTTTCATATCGGTGCATCCCTACATGATAATGCTTGTCAAATTTGTCAAGTGGTGTAACGCCGCCTTTCCACTATCTCCGACGAACGACAAGCGACAGACCGGAAGTCATTCATTTCGAATGGAGAGTAGTGTGGGAGCTGCGTGGAGTTCCGATCATATGCGTATGCGGAAAATGTCAGATTCTGAGTTCAAACACACCTTTGTAAAAAGGTGTAACTGATACTTAATGTATCAATTAATAAGACTAAGTTTGATACTTAGCGAGTCTCGGCGGTCTGAAAGAGATTCCTGATGCAAATCTTAAAGCTTCCCGTAGATCTTTGCTGAATTCGGGTCGATGAGAAGAACCAGTTTGAGTCAGTGTTACTTGATGAATGGAAAGGACTAGGCCGAAGAAAGGCCTGGCACAGATGCTTTGTATCCTGAAGCGTTTTTCTCACATCATCTTTGCTTCTGACTGAATCACCGACTGGGGCGGGTCCCTGGAGCCGGGCCTTTAAGGTCGGAGAAGATCTCCGCCTTTCAAGATGGGCTTGTCCCATGAGCAAAATGGGATTTCCGAGCGGGAGGTGGCAATTGCTGGAGGGTTTACGACCCTTTGTTCTCTAAGCATGGTAATTTGCAAATGGACTTAAATCGAAACTATTAACGATTCTCAGGGTGCTAATATATATTGCCTATGTACCACCATATAATATACACGCTTGTTTCGATCATACGAAGGCAAATTCATAGATACTAAACAAGGTAAGATTACATATAGTGAAAAGGGATGATCAGGAATGGGTCCCCTCACAAGCATACTAAAATAGTCTAAGAATATCAAAGACAAAATACACAATGACAATAATATACTCAATGGCCTGAAGAAATATGTGTGTTCATTCAAATAACGTTTTTTCTATGAATTAACTAGAACACAGTCCATTTCTACTCTGCTTTTCCTTGGGACAAGAGTGGGCTATCCTTCTCACATTCCTGGGGGGTCATAAAACCAGTGATATCATGATTAGTTGTCATGGTGACCAGAGGGCCTGGTGTTCAGCAGACATCCTGGCATCCAGTTTATTGAGTGAGGGGACTGTGACGATTTGTTAACCTAATGAATAATTGATTTGTTAAATCAAATTAAAATTAGTGTGTCAGATTGGTCGAGACGCTACACAATTGTTAAAACTACAGGAATTTACTTTATCTAATAATAAAATAATTCTACAGAGAATTATTAACAAAATTTGAATTGCAAAGCTGAATATGTAATATTCCCACTTTCCTGAATCTATTAAGCATACTCCTCATAATACCACACACAAACACACACATTTGTTTCTGTGAATTGTGGGGAATTTCCATAGACTTCTATTACTTTTATACTGACCAAACAATATTTTCTATGCCCTAACCCAGGGGTAGGCAAGTTCAGTCCTAGGGAGCCGCAGTCCTGCAGAGTTCAGCTCCAAACCTGGAAACAAAACTCACCTGCCTATAGCCTTAGTAATCCTGAAGACATTGATTAGCTTGTTCAGGTGTGTTCGATTAGGGTTGGAGCTGAACTCTGCAGGACTGCGGCTCTCTAGGACCGAACTTGCCTACCCCTGGGCTAGACCGTATGCGACCGGCCAACCGGATGTAATGTATTCTATAAAACTATGAACGTAAGGTTAGAATTACCAATATTTTGTTCACTTGAACATTATTCTTTAAACACTAATTTCTGTAGAATGGTGCTTTAAAATAATTATGGCAGAAATAATTATTAAATAATTATTAAATAATTATTTAAGTTCATTAGCCCCATAAAACCTACTATGTTTTTATTTTGGGGGTCATTTGATTTGTGACGATGCATTCATACATTAATTATATTCATTAAAAGGAGTCATTTTACCATGATTAAATAATTATTTAAGTTCATTAGCCCCATAAAACCTACTATGTACTTACAGTTTGAAAGTTCTGTGCGACTGCCACTAGGGGGAGAAATGCAACAGTCGTGCATTAAATCTAATCTCTAGATTTAATCTCTAGCTTCCACTAACTGTCGTACGCATGTTCACGAGAGAGTGGCGTTCCAGTGGATGACGTAGGATGTAGGCGTAGCGTAAGCTCTGGTGAGAAGTGATGAACACGGAATCATAGAGGAGAGAGCAAAACAAAACACCGGTCATGAATTAGAAGTACAAAACGAGGATTTGTAAAGAAAAATGTCGAAGGATTTCGATACAAGCCAAAAGGAGATTGGTTTTCCTTTGCTGTAAACAAAACTTGGTTCTTGCGAGACTAGCATATTCTCACCAGTGCTTACGCTACGTCTACGTCCTACATCATCCACTGGAATGCCACTCTCTCGTGAACGCAAGTACGACAGAGTTTTAAATATGGATATTTTTCTTACAAAAGTGCATTGATTGGTTTCAGGAGGCCTTTATTAACCACCTGGCGCCGTCTGGAGCACTTTTATTATGATAGGGGTCTTGTGGCAATTTTCATTTTTGGGTGAACTATCCCTTTAAGCAATATACAGTATCATATAATATCATGTAATATATACATAAATGATTTAATAATGTAGCAGAAGGAAGTGGGTGTCTAATTCAAATGGCTGCAATATAACAAAGAGTGAAAAATTTAAGGGGGTCTGAATACTTTCCGTACCCACTGTAAATTCACTGATAAAAAATGTTAACCAAATATTAAAATTTACATCTGTAAAATACAATTCATTAAATTTCTGATATTTTATAATTAATATGATATAACAGAGCCCCTTTTCCCCCTAAACATGCCACAATACAGTATGAAGTTACAATAAAAAAATTAAAATGACCATACGAGACATGAGTTCACTGTTCATCATTCTGATGATTTCTTGTCAGATATTGTTTCTTAAATGTAATTGCAATATGAGACATGAGTTCACTGTTCATCATTATGATAATTTCGTGTTGCCAGATTTGTAATTTTTTTTTAGCATTGGAAAAAAAAGCACTTCAGCTGATTTTGTTAACAGTCATGCTTGATTTTCAGTGTAAATTTCTTCAACAAACAATGGCCTTTGGCTGTAGAAGCAACTTGGTCAAGTGGTGGAACTGGCTTGTGTCAATTGGTGGAACCAGTATTTCTCATAAAAATATAATTATATACAGGAAAATTAATGTGGAATAAAATGTAATTATCTAGTTTAGTATATTAATATGGTTTTTAATATTTTTTTTACATAATTTGTGAAAGATTATTTAGAAAATAGGTGTTTTCAGCATATGTCCCGCCATATATTGCAAAAATGCGTTAAAATGTACATTTAGAGCTAACTCTAATAAAAATCTATTTTTGTGTGATATTTTAAAATGAAGTATTTATTTCTATGAGTAAGCTTAGTGGATAAAATATTTAATATTTCTCATTCTTTGGCGGTTACTCCATTTGACATTTTCATGTACATTCAGTCTTAACTTTTGTAAAAAAATGCTTCATATGTCATTTTTAATTACATAAAATCAACATAAACGCGCTGTGTACATTTTAAAATACCTGATGCATGCTTTTAAAAGAGATTTTTGAATTTCTCATCTTGCCAACCCCTTTTTGTCACTGACCTGTTTATGTTGTGTGTAACATGATGAAAAATGTCCTATAAATTCCCCCTTAGGAATCCTTTTTTCAAGACATTGATCTCCTACAGAAGCATGGAATTGTAAGTGATAATGTTATTATAAAGTTATTAAAGTTATGAAAATGTCATCATGACGGTGGCTCTTGATTCGTATCCCTCTATCTTAAGAACGTGGCTGACATTAAGAAACTGAAGTCTGTGGGCATTTGTACTGTGAAAGGCATCCAGATGACCACACGCCGCGCTCTCTGTAATGTAAAGGGACTGTCTGAGGCTAAAGTCGACAAAATAAAGGAAGCTGCTGGAAAATTGCTGGTAATTTGATGTGGCTTCCTGGAATTTATGTAACACAGTTATTTGATGAAGGATACTGAATTTATGTATTGTGCATTCATAACATTTTGTCTTCTTGCATGCAGATATGTGGATTTCAGACAGCATCTGAATACAGTGTAAAAAGGAAGCAAGTGTTCCACATCACAACAGGCAGTTTGGAGTTTGAGTAAGAAATAACATCCTGTTTATAGCCCTAAAACACGAAGCCCCACAGATGATGTGGAGGAAACAAAACTAGATATTGTGGCCACGATTTAACTAAAAGAAGGGAAGGAATTAATAAAACATGGCCACACAGTAAGTTGTGGGAACAAATTCTTAATTCGTGGCCACAAAATCCATATTTCCTACATCATGTATGGAGCTCCGTACTAAAGAAGGGTTTAACATTTTGTCTGATAAAAGTCACATGACAGCAAAAATGCTTTATTCATATTTTGTTCAGCAAACTCCTCGGAGGTGGTGTGGAGAGTATGGCTATTACTGAGGCTTTTGGTGGTAGGGTGCTGTTATGATTACGAACCAAAATTATATGTTATGCATTTTCTTTACATTAGTTCTGCCAAAATTACATGTTTTTATAAATCGTTTCCCATGCCTCATTTAGAATTCAGAACTGGAAAGACTCAACTCTCTCATACACTGTGTGGTAAGAGCAAAAATGTATCTTGTGGAAATGTTAAATGTGGAATTTAAGGCTCATTTTTAGACCATTAATGTCACTCCATTTCTGTTTTTCTTAAGTAACCGCTCAGCTTCCTGGTGAATATGGGTACACCGGAGGAAAGGTCGTCTTCATCGATTCTGAAAACACCTTGTATCTTTTCTGCATTTGCTTGCTTTGTGTCACATTCATTTTACTAATCCTATTCAATATGGAAAAGCCATATTGAACTTTTTTCTCCTTAATAATTGTGAACACCAGTCGGCCTGAGAGGCTGAAGGACATAGCTGACAGATTCCACGTGGATCATGAAGCTGTACTGGATAATGTGCTATATGCACGTGCATATACGAGTAAGAACTTGCCTCTCAGAACTTTTTTACTTAAAGTTTTGAAATTTAGTTTTACTTTGGAGTTTAATAGGCTAGCCAATGAGTTCCCAAAAAGTGTTTTCATTCATAGGTGAGCATCAGATGGAACTGTTAGACTTTGTTGCAGCCAAGTTCCACGAGGAAGGAGGTGTCTTCAAGCTTCTGGTAAGATAGAAGAAAGACACTTTCTAAGGTTTGATTTTTGGGAAGTGATTTTACTTAATCTTGTGGCCATCAACAATTAATTTTCCATAGATAATAGACTCAATCATGGCTCTGTTCCGGGTGGACTTCTCTGGAAGAGGCGAGCTGGCTGAGAGACAGCAGAAGCTTGCACAGATGCTCTCCAGGCTGCAGAAGATCTCTGAAGGTCTGTAAAATCATCTCTTCTTATATATATACTG